TGAAGATTGACATCTCCAAGTATAGGGGGGTCGAAGAAGACTCCCTCTTGAGATGGTTCGTCGAATTGGATGACGCCATAAGGGCGCGTCGCATCGACGACGGGGATATGCAAGTTGCATTTGCCCAGTCAAATCTGGCAGGACGTGCCAAGACTTGGGCACTGGGGCTCAAGCTGCACGACCCATACGCGTTTGGGTCGTTGGAAGTCTTCAAGTCGCGGCTCAGACAAACGTTTGAACCGCCTAGAGCTGAGTTCAGAGCTCGAACCAAAATCTTGAAGCTCAAGCAGGGTAAGTGTGATGTGCACGCTTACGCACAACATATACGACATCTCACGAGTTGTATAAGTTCCAATCCGGTGGATGAACACACGTTGGTTTCGGTGTTCATGCAGGGTCTTGCGGATGGTCCCGTCAAGACTCGCCTGTTCCGGCTTGAACTAGATTCACTAGAACAAGCCATTTCCATTGCGGAGCAGGAAGACTTCAGTCTGAGACAGGCTCGCGCCAGCTCGACATCATATCGTCAACCGAGACGATATGACAACGGAGGTCCAGAGCCGATGGAACTCTGTTATGTAGAGAGCGAGAAGGCTCGCTCTACAGGCTACAAGAAGTTGCAGAGATGCGACAGATGTCAAAAGACAGGACACTACGCTTACGAGTGTATTGCCCCTCGTCCAGTGTCTCGCGACACTGGGCGTAGTGACCGTCCACCCATGAGAAAGGGGCAGGGACGAGGGTCCGCAGTTGGTGCAAAGACGCAACAACGGGATGGACCGTCAAAACACGGACAGGATCAGTAGGTGCGGAGCACCCTACTGGTCTAGCAACGTCAAGAGAATTTGTAGGCCTCTTGATGAAGGTTGCTCCCAACACACAAGCGTTGTGCGTTGCTGCTCTAGGTAATGAGGTCTCACTCATTACCCTGAAACTCGAAGTGACGAATAAGTTGTCCCTTCGAGCTCTAGTCGATTGTGGGGCGTCCAACAATTTTGTGCGACGCCAATCGCTAGAAGATGGTCACTTTAAATTCAGTGAATGTGACACACCTCCTACGAGGATGACGGTACGTCTTGCGACAGGCGCATCCGTAACCGTCATGAAGCGTATAGTGAAGATCCACTAAACGCTAGAAGATACCCAATATGACGATGACTTTATCGTATTGGATTTGGATGACAAATTTGATGTCATCCTTGGAATAACGTGGATCAGAAGGTACGAACCACGGGTAAACTGGCAACATCGAACAGTAACGATGCCTGCCGCTTGTTCATCAGATGGCCATCTGATGAACGTTTTGGAGCGTCCACAAGCGTGTGGATGTACTACGAGTGAGTGCGATGGCCTCACTTGTGGTACGGTCGTTAGTACGACTGCACAAAACCTTAGTGTACCAAACAGTTACACTTCGGAGCAAAGTTCCGGCGGCTGTGAGGAAACACAGGCTGCGCCGAAGGTTCACCACTCGAATAAGTCGGGTGGACTGGGACAAAGATGTATCCCTAGCCGGGAACATCTAGAAGAGAAACAATCGATCGCTCAGGTTAAGCGAAACGATAATCCTAGATCGACTGGAGAGTATTTCGTAGAGGATCTCGCTGTGGTTGCGCAACCCCAGCAAGAGGAAGTAAAGGGAATAAGTCCCAAGATTACACATACGGCGGAAGTAAGTTCCCCGAAACCCGCGGGAATAAGTCCCCGGGAAGCCGAAGGAATAAGTCCTTCGAAGCCTGAGGGAATAAGTCCCCAGGAAATGACAGAGACATTGAATGTCATAGTCAATAACGGATCAAGTGTAGGCGCTTATACACTTGATCTGATTGCGCCTCCGAAGTTGACTTCGGAGATCACTCAGTTGCCAACGCTCGAACATAAAAGGTTCTTGCGTGATATGCGTAGTGGCAAAGTCAAGCAGATCTGCATACTCGTCGCTGACGACGAGTATGTAACCGACATAAGGTCAGCAACAGTGTTCACTGAGAACGAGATAGTTCTCAGTAGTTCATCTATGGACGAGAGTGTCCTAGATGAAAAGACACGAATTGAGCGATATGACTCCCAATCATGGGAATCGCTCAAGAAAAATCCTCTCTATGAAGATTTGGTTGAATTCAAGGATGTATTCCCTGAAACTGTTCCGTGCGAATTACCGAAGGATAAAGGTATTCGACACGAGGTCGAGCTTAAACCAGGCTCGAAGTACTGTGTCATGAAGCAGTGGCCACTGCCTCGTGAACAAGCACTTGCGATCGACAAGTTCTTTGCCGATCGTTTAGCTGCGGGCCATGTGAGGGAATCAACTTCCCCACATAGCTCTCCGACCTTCTGTGTGCGAAAAGCAACAGGAGGGTGGCGGATAGTGCATGCATTTAACAAGTTGAATGCTGCAACGGTACCGGCTCAGACGCCGATACCGAGGAAGGACGTAATCATTGATGGTATGTCAAAGAGTACCATCTTTTCGTCCATGTATTTGATGGATGGCTTCTATCAAATCCTTATGCGGGAACGGGATATACCCTATACCGCAGTTAGCACGCCTAGCGGCATGCTCTGGGAATGGCTAGTAATACCACAAGGGCTTAGTAATGCCCCTGCCACGTTCAACAGATGTGTATCACATCTGTTGAGACCAGTACGAGAATTCGCGCCGAGTTATTTCGATGACGTATTCATCCATAGTCGAGCTATGGATGGAAAGTCGGACGTTGATGTTCACAGATACCACGTCCGACAAGTTCTTACAATCATGCGAAAGCATCAATTGTATGCTAATCTCAAGAAGTGTATATTTGCTGCAAGCGAAATACCACTTCTTGGGTGCATCGTTGGTAAGAACGGTGTACGTCCTGATCCCGAAAAGATCAAGGCGATCACCGACTGGCCTGTGCCGGTTGATGTCAAAGGTCTTCGAAAATTCCTTGGGCTAGCGGCGTATTTGCATAAGTATTCACGCAATTACGCCGAGATGACTGTGCACCTCTCTCGTTTGTTGAAAAAGAACGAGAGGTGGTTAGGGAACCTTTAATGTCAGCGCTCCTTTGAGGGTATCAAGCAGAGCTTGATACAATCCCCAGTCCTAGCAATAGCCGATCAGGACAGGCCATTTCATGTGGTCTGTGATGCCAGCGATTTCGCAATCGGCTGTGCATTAATGCAGTACGACCTAGAAGGCGTTGAACGCGTCGTCTGCTATCAGTCGCGTCAGCTGCAACCAGCTGAGCGGAACTATCCAATGCATGACAAGGAACGCCTTGCCATGAAGTATGCACTCGCGAAGTTCAGAGTCTATCTATTAGGAGATAGACCCTTCATTGTTTACCCTGACCATGCGTCATTACGCACGGCAGTGAACAGCCCGCACCTTTCACAACGAATGGCGCGGTGGTTGTCATTCTTTGCGGAATACAACTTTACGGTCGAGTACAAACCAGGACGACTTAATGTCGTCGCTGATGCACTCTCACGTCGGCCCGACTTTGAAACAGTCGCGAAACCCAACAGTGAGACAGTCACAGTTGCGGTTATGACGTCCTCAGTACCATCTTTAACGTTGCATGATGATGTGAGGCGGGCGTATACCCAAGATGGTGAGATTTTGAAGTTTTTGACACGTCTCTCACATCCATCTTGAGAATCGTTGAAACGATTATCGTCTGCGTATCTATCTGGATCAGATCGATACACTACTCGCGACGGTTTAGTGTATTATGCAGCCGTTTCTGGTGACACACCACGTGTTGTCATTCCAGATGATACTGATCTGCGTTTGCGGATCATGTTCGAGTATCACGATGCTCCTATAGTAGGACATCGTGTCCGGGAGAAAACATATCTCACGGTGAGTCGAGACTTTTACTGGCCCCGCCAGTATCAGTTTGTGCGCAAGTACGCTCCAGCATGCGAAGTCTGTCAACGAGTGAAGTCAAGTCCTTCACTGCGTGCACCTTTACAGCCTCTACCGGTTCCGACTGAGTGCTGGGAATCCATCTCAATGGATTTCGTGTTCGGGTTACCCAAAGACGCACGCGGGAATACGGGTATTCTCGTATTTGTTGACAGATTCAGCAAAATGGTACACCTTGTGGCTGTACCAGAGACAATCACGGCAAGTGGCTGTGCTTGTGTCTTTATCGACACCATCTTTCGACTTCATGGGTTGCCCCGTGAACTCGTATCAGACAGAGATCCACGATTCACTGCTGATTTCTGGCGTTCCGTGTTCAAATCACTCGGAACGCGCTTGAAGATGTCTACATATGATCATCCAGAGTCAGATGGTCAGACGGAACGTGCCAATCGTGTCCTTGAAGAGATACTTCGAGGATACGTACACTCCTTTAAGAGTTGGAGTGAGTTCTTGCCCATAGTAGAGTTTGCCATTAACATCTCGGTGCATGCGTCCACGACACATCCACCGTTTTGCGTAAATGGCGTACGCCATCCGCGTGTACCCACCTTACTAGAGTGTAACTATGGTTTAAGGGGGGGAGAGTCTCGCGCGAGCACAAACCGATTTGGTTCACGCTCATCACGCTCTGACGAAGAGGTCATTTCGTTTGATGCCGATACCGATAACATAGATATCGAAGAAGATGATGCCAGTGAGAGCGCGGAAGCCCTTACTAAAGAAAGGATTGATGTCGCTGCAGTGCACTCACAGCGCACTGAAGCTAACGAGTCATCAGATGAGTTCATACTGGCTCGTGAAACGGTAGTCCATTTTGTGCAAGACTCTATCGCCGAAGCGGTGGATGAGCAAAAGCAAAACGCTGACAAGAATGGAAGGGCAAACACTCTTTTATTTAATAAAGATGACTTAGTCCTACTGTCTACGGTCAATCTACCAAAGTATGTAGTGACTAACTTGGGTAGCAGTAAACTACTACCCAAGTGCATCGGCCCATTTCGTGTTTTGCACCGCCTAGGCAATGCATACACGATCGAGTTACCACGTAAGATGCGAACGCATCCCACGTTTTACGTTGGTCGGCTTAAGCCGTACCATCAGTACGCTGCTTCTTCCGATGAAGAACGCTCTTGCGCTCAAGCATCTCGCAGAGAGCCTTGTGCTCCCGATGGTGGGCATCAACAAGGGTCTGAAGAGCAGCTATCTCATCCCGAGACCGATCAACAATCCCACGAGCTACCCTTAGCTCGTCACGAAGAGATGTCAGAGATCTCTCGTTCTCAAGCTGAGCAAAGGCAAACTCAGCTCGATGCTTCAAGGCAGTGTCCGCCAGTTGGAGACGCCTGTCCCGCTCATGTTCGAGATCGTCGCGTAACCCTTGCGTTACGCGATAGAAGAAGCTCTCAGGAACACACCGATCCACATGATCGTGTGGAGAGCGTCTTTCCTCCTCCTCCACCTCCATCAGAGGACTCTAGCGGTGGCCAGCGCTATCTAGTTTAGCAGCTGTTGAACCACCGCGACGTGAACGGACGTCGGACGAGTTATCTCGTCCGGTGGCGCGGCTATCCCCCGTCCTGGGATTCTTGACAGCCCCGCTCCCAAGTGATGATCAATGTACTGGGTCTGGTTGCACAGTACGAAGCGGCACATCCTGTGCCGCAGAAGGACCGCCGGAGAAAGTCTTCCCGGCACGGTCGTAAAGGGATTTCAGATTGTCAATCCCTTCGTACATCTCAATAGAGATACGTACGCGCCACCACGGGCTATTAGGGAGGTAATCCTCCTTAGGTGCTCGTGCAGAGTTGTTCACACAACATGGGCACGAGTCTCCCCAAGAGAGGCAGGGTAATCCTTTCTCCCTTGACAGACGATGCAGCTTGTAGCGTGCACCTGTCGGGGTTCGCTTTTCAAACTTATCACGAGCTTTGATAAGTTTGTCGTTCCAAGCGTCACGACCTACATCCTCAAGGTTATGGATGTAGGCGTTCCACGCCTGAAGCAGTGAGGGACCATCACGCTTGTGATTCCCACTGTACCATCGATGTCTAAAGAAAGCATCAATGAAGAAATCGTTCTCAGCGCGATAGTTTTTCGCGCTGGGGTCAAGGTGATGGATCCTTGACGAATTGAACAATCGTGTTCGATAACGATCACTAGTCGTCGCCGACAAGTGATCCATGACAGATTTGGGAGACATCCATGCCTTCTTTTCTGGAGCGAGACGCAAGACATTGCGGTCCCGCTCTTCCTGCGATGTGCCGACAGAAGTACTGGCACCTCGTTGCGAAGTGGTGTCCATAGGAGAACCGACACCACTGTTAGCGCCCGAGTCTCGCGACCTCGAGCGCCTTCGCTTCGGCGATGGTTCATCTGATTCATCAGATGAACCTAAGATGCTACGATGCAAAGCATCATCCATGCCACGCTTGGCAGGCGGCTTGGATTCGATCGCCGTCGATACGGATCCGTCTTCCGTATCAGGAGAGTACGAGACACCAAGCTCGTACTCTGTGAAGACATGAGTGTCTTCATGACCAGCGTCTGCATCACCAAGTGACACAGGCTGGGTCGCTTCAGCAACCGATGAGGCATCAGTTGCTGTGGTTTCTGCTTCGGCGTCCGCACAGAGACGTGCGGACGCGCTCTCGGCGGCCTTGCTCGCGCATCGCATGGGCTTGTTAACCATGCGATGAGATGTTGGAAAGTGGACGCGGACCAACAAGTGCAAACCCTGTCCCAAATGATTTGGGACGAGTATCCATTTAGTCAATCAGTCACTAAAGTGATTGATGGTTAAGGGGGGTGATGTAACGGGGTGAATCGTTTCATAACAATTAATAAGAAATTGTTAATAGAATATAACTATAAGAGTTATATTCTCAGAATATTGTCATAAGGACAAATATTCTGTAGCACTTACGAGTAGTTCCTAAATGGTTGATATAGGCCATTATATCAACCAACGAAGACGCGCCACGACAGACGCACGCAATGAGTGGTGAGCAGATAACTGATTGACACATTTGTATTTAGACATAGTTAGATGAGGATAAATAGTGATTTATTGCAGACATTAACTATTATAAATACAGTTCTACTTTTTACTCTAACCAAGTACTCGCTTCTTCTTACCGTCTTCCTCTGCACGTACGACTGTACGTGAAGTTACGAGGCACCGCCTTATTCTGTCATCAGAATAAGTAGCTTGTACTGTCACCAGTACAAGCTTCAGGGTGCCCCGTTACAAAATTGACCTCCACCAACTGACCCGAATATATACCTGTCCGAACTACGCTAAGAATGTGTACGATCGTAGGCACCGTCGAAATGCACAGTGCAAGACTCTTGCTGCCCTTTTTAATTTGATCGATTACACTTCCAACAGATTCTACGAAAAATGTCTACGTCCGTCGTGTGCAAGAAAACATCTGACAACGGGGAGAACTTCAGATCCGTGGTGTGTGCGTTAAAGAAGTCAGATCGTTTCCCGCTGAATCTTAATGCCTCGTCTGATCAAGCTCGAACAGCTCTTTTTGAACTCGTTGATTCCACGAACCCATACGGCTGTACCGAACGTACATGAATGTAAAAGTGTAGACCTGACGTTGCTACAATAGCGGTATCGTCTAAGCATGCACCGTACGTGACGATGGTGAATCTTGTCGCACCGTACGTGACGATGGTGAATCTTGTGGATGCAGTAATGTGCCCTCCGCGGAATCGTTGATCGTTCCACGATGAAACGTTTGTCACAATTAGGCGCTAGGTAGCCCCGCCAGGTATAATTGCGAATGAACGGTAGTTTCATTCGGCGTGCGAGGACAAGAACATTTACCAATTTCCTGGTTCTCGACAACATCGGAGGTAGTGACGATGCAGCTTCATTGCGTGCTGAGTATTCTCTCGGCTGGAGTGATCGGAAAAACCTTGGCTGCTCCTGCCAACACTTCGAATCACGAGGCTATCAAATGGGATCATTGCGCAGGGTTCACTTTTGATAGAGGATTCACAAATTTCGATGCCGAGTGCATGATCTTCTCGGCTCCGTTGTGCTACCCCGGAGTTTGTGAGGCACCGGCGAGTGCAAGCCCGACTGTCAACGTTTTCGTAAAGCGGGTGGCTGCTGTTGGGAACAACGCAGCAAGCGCACCGAACGTGATACTGATTCCAGGTGGTCCTGGTCTCTCCTCCTCCACGTGTAAGTAAATGTTTGGCATAACTTCCAGTGAATGAAACTAATCAGGAGCTCTTGCTTGTCATAGTGGAGTGGGCGTTGCAGGATGTACACGAGGGTATGGGAGGGGATGTCAATGTGTACTTGATTGAACGCCGCGGTACTGGACGCAGTACGCGCCTAGATTGCACGGCAGCACAGAGTACGACCTCCGGGTCTCCATCAGGCGGAAAAGTCGAGCTTTCAGAGGTTCCTGCTTGTGCTCTGGACCTGCAGAACACATACGGGAATCTCGCTGCGTTCTCGACCACGAGCGCTGCAATGGACATTCTGGACTTCCTGGCCAAGTGTACAAATGGCTTGAGTACTTTTGTGTACGGAAGGAGCTACGGAACGGTGGTCGCTCAGCGTCTGATGCAGTTGAATCCGACAACCGTGACCGGTTACATTTTGGACAGCGTCATGACCTCTTCACTCGCACCCGACCAGAGGTCATACTACCCATCGCGGGATGCTGCGTTTGGCGAGGTGGCCGAGCATTTTATGGAGCTATGCGCGCAAGACAGCGAATGCAGCGCGCATTTCAAGGACACCAGCTTGTCTGCTACGCTTCATGATGTGCTTTCAAAGTTTGACAGCAATCCCAACTCGACCTGTGCTGCTATGGTGGCGGAATTCACAATGACGACACCATCAGTTGGCCTTCGGAAGCAACTGGGTGGCCTTTTGAACGAACCAGTTTTACGGTCCTTAATCCCACCGATCGTGTACCGACTCCATCGCTGCGATGCCAATGATGTCGAAGTCTTGAAGATGTTCCTCCAGGTCAACACGGACTATACCTCGATCCCGAACGAAAGCGAAGCTATTGCTTCAGATCTGCTTGGCGATTTGGTGTTGTTCTCTGAATTTTGGGAGACTCCTACACCTTCTCAAGCCGAATTGCAAGCTCGTTTCGCGACCGCGGGCATGTTGGAAACCCCCGTTTACGACGTCCTTCCCCAGTATTGCGCCTTTTCGAAAGAGCAGTCGCTACAATGCGCTGAAACTGGAGTCAAGAGCTACGACGCCAACGGCATCATATACCCGCACGACCAGTACTCGAACGCTGTTCCTACCATCTCCAGCCAAGCTAGCGTGCTACTGATGAGTGGAGGATCGGACCCGGTGACGCCCTCCAAGTATGCCAAGTTTCTGTTTGAAGCGCTTGATACAACCAAGAAGGAGCTCGTTGTATTCGACTACGTGCCGCATTCGGTGATGGGTGCGGCTGTGTATGGCGAAGATGAAAAGGACTGCGGATTGGAGCTGCTGATCTCATTCGTTTCCAGCAACGGTGACCTTGCACACTTGGACAAGTCATGCATGGCCAAAATGCCTGCATTCGACATGAAAGTACGGGTTAAGGAGGCGAACTCCTATTTCGGCACCGATGACGCGTACAACGGTGTATCGACCCCCGCTCAGCAGGATGCAGGTGCCACGCCAGCGTAAGAGTGACCTTGCAAGGGTTCCGACTCCAGTGGAGCAAAGCAGAAGTGTCAAGCTGAACCTACGCAGCAACACAATGATGCACAGAGTTCAAGGGGTGGACGCACTCTTCAAGATCAGTGAGCTTTTACCTGTAATTAAGAGTGTCGAGCATTCATCGTCGTCGTTAGTTCGTGCTATATCCGTCGTTTTCTCTTCTGGTAGCAGTAAACATGAAATTGTTGGAACGCTGATGCAAAAGGACACACACGCACGTCGGAGTTGCGCTCAATGGAGAATGCATTCTACACAGCAGTACAGCGAGCCAACGAAACCTACTCCATCGCCACTGACTGGGCGAGATCACTCTTCGGATTTTCTTGTACGATAATGCAGTGTCACCGAAGTCCTTACTGCAGACAATAAGAACTCGTGGCAGCTGCATGCAGTCTCTTCGATAGCGTGCAAGCAACTAATGTACATGTCGTAATCTGAATCGGGCTCACACGACGGTTACCGCCCGATATGAATGCACATAGTATATGTGATATACAGCCCTCAGATCAGTTGATCCGTGACCACTGATGTGGTTCATAATCTGATTCTTCCATTGATGACAGATTGGTGAACCATCCATCCATATTTTAGGACACTTAGTTTTACAATCTGAACTGGTTCTGCCTTAGAAATAAAGAGTTGTATGAGGCTTTTAAAAATACAATTGGCAGTTCCCTTTGAAATGATTGGCAGTTCCCCCTTTGATCCAGTGTATATACGTAACTTGTTTGGACGTCAACTGGTCGCAAAGAGTAAGAGCCTTGTTGTGGCGCGTACTCTAAAAACTTTGTGTGAAAGATCAACGAAGATCGTTTCAAGAAGTGCCATGGACCAGGAATTGAAGCCTTACGAGCCTGAGGACTCTCTGAGAGTCTTCGTCAATTAATTTTAATAACTAGAGAGCTTCTACAAGTTTGGAGACCCTCTCTAAACATATGGGAACTTACATTTCGTAGCACTGATAAACTTTAAGAGTCGCAAGTCTTTGTCTGACCAAGAGCTGTAGAGCCCCGCTGCAAAATCGGTCTCGCCTTACAAATATAAGTAGATAATTTTGTGACATATTTATCACTTTCTTCAGAGCGGACACTGTTTAAAATCAGCTAAATAAGTACTTTTGAAAGGCGAATTTAAAGAGGCCGTCGAAAAAGCGTCCTGTGGGCCACAGAACCTTTGATTCCTGTTGGAAATCTATGGGCTCATCCAAATGACGAAAAAATGATCGAAACGTTATTTATGAAAGAACATTCTCGATCATAGGAATATGTGCTTGATGAAGGAAATGATGCTCACTATCCATTTCCCTTCTTACAGCGCGCCGGTTCGAAATCTACTGCGCTTAACAGAGACATTCTGCAGTATGAAAAGACCCTTGATGCGAGAAAGGAATACAAAGTAAGTTTCAAAAACTGGAATGCTAGATAAACCCGTTTATTTGCTGTGAGACGTCTTACATGATTTGTCGATCTAAAACGCTTTCTGCGCAGGACAGTTTAAATTTTCTCCTGGGATGTTAGCAATTACTCTCTTGTAACCCCCCGTACACAATTGTACATGAAAAGGACTTTTGTCGTGCTCTGCTATCCCACTTACCGCCTGAACACGAATTTTCGTGTAAGCGTGAGGTAATTGTTGCGCATCTTGGTACACTATTCATATTAGAGGTTTACTATTCGTGGATAGCAATTTGGCAGTGAGAGATTAACTGTCTAGTTTGGAATGTGATGTCCTGAGTGTGAGTTTTGTCTTCATTTAAGACAAAATGTATCAAGGTGTTGGAAAGGCTATCGGTAACCTTCTTAAATGCGTGTCGTAAGCCTCATGGAAAGAGGAGCCTGAAATATTTAGCTTTGATAAACAAGAGAAATCACTGAAGAATCCTGAACAGATCTCAAGAAGGTAGTTCCAATCAGTCAACAACACAATATGAGCTCGATTTAATCTTTAACCTATGCAGCAGAACTTGGATTACAACAGAAAATGATGTTAACTGCTAAGAAATTTCTCGTTAGAGTAACCACGTACAACTGGACTTTTTGAGCCTATTTCGCGTATATAGAGCAGCGGGAAAGAGTTGTAAACTTCCGATCCCATTACCAACGATTATGTCACCATACGTTGCTACTGCAGAAGAGGAACGCAAGGATCGACAGCCTCGAGGAACAGACATCGTCCGGCGCTTTTACAGTCCCAAATGATTATCAATCCTTCGTTCAGGTGATTTTAGAATCATCACCGTATCATCGTAGTGCGATCTTTATCGAAACTACCTCAACTCCTCAGTCAGGGGAAGACTTCTTGACTCGTAGTGTAGCGGAGCTACAGAGCTCCATAAGTCAGAGGAAGACTTAACGCTCTACGAGCAACTTAGTTCCAAAGAACTAATGACTTTACGAGTCAACAAGCTTTACAGCTTCAGATCCCTGTTCCAGGGGGACCTAACGATTCAGTGAATCTACAGCACTCAGTGCTCAAGAGTAGCTACCTCGAGGAGGTGTCGCTAGCTCTTAGTGATCAGTGAGTAACGATCAAGACGGCTCGCAAGCCACGTGTCCTTCCGATCAAAATGGGAACTGATTTTATTTTTGTTTTAAGCCTATAGAATATCTTAATCCTACTCAAAGATCTTTCGTACCTAATGGCTGACACTCGTCAGCCCCTACAAACCAATAAGATATTCGATATCACCTTCACAAAGGGGTAACCTCAGGTGTGTAACACCTCTGGTACAACGTACCATAATTTCGTGCAACCCCGTTGCACCCTCCCCCACCAGACTGACGTTTACCAGAACGTCAATCGAACTTGTGCTCCTAAGCGAGAACAGTGCGCGTACGGTAAGCCTCACGGCAACGTACGTTCTAGCACGATGTCCTCATCACCAAACGAGTCAAAGGCTCTGTGTGACTACCTCGGGATAGAGGAGGAGGTGGACTATGGTAGCGATACCAGTGTCCGTGGTGATACAGGGACAATGTCCGGCTCACTGATGCCTGAGGCACAACCTTTGAACACCGCAAATCCGTTCGCTGAACGTGGAGGTGCGAGCGCGCCACCAGCGCAGTATGCAGCGTCTGGGTCTGATGAGACTATCATCACGAACCCGCTCGATGAGCAACAACAACTGCTTGTTCAAAGAGAAGAAAACGCTCAGCGTCATGTACAAATGACTGTAATCCTTGAACTCCAGCGTGACTATGTGTTCACCCCACCCAGTGTGGAGGAACGTCTACGTCAAGCGGCCGGCCATACATTGGCAACGTGGGTCATTGGCCATGGGCATAAGACTCCTGAGGAGGTGGTGAGCTGCCAGGCACTTCGCGAGAGGTACCTGGAGCCGCACCTAACGACTCAAAGTCAATACAGGGCACGCCTTGACATGCAAGCGCGTGGTAAACCGGTTCCACCGATCAAGGGTATACCCATTCTCTTGTTCGCAGGCGAAAAAGTGAGCGAAGAAGACAATGCCTTCGTTCACTGGGTGCACTATGTGCGTCGCATCAGCAACATCTTTGCTCAGAGGGCTAGTGCCAGTGTGGCTGACGTGGGTCTTGAACGCAAGCTTCGGTATGATTATGCCAAGCTTAAGTTCAGAGGCCAATTGCGCAAGCGCACGCGCTATGCTTCGGCTACTAAGGTAGCCGCGAGGGTGCTGGTCAGTCTGTGGCCAACAACCCGCCAACCCGCACCACTAGTGGCGGGGAACGGCCTCGGCCTCGGGTGATTATGGCCACGATGCTCAAAAGCCTCCAAAGCATATGGGCAGTCTTGCCGAAGGGGTACCTCAAATTCCCATGAGTTTTCAGACTCAGGGTACCCACGCCACTTTACCAGATACTGGTATTGGCCCTGACGACGACGTCGTTTCAGTAGTCTCTCGACATGAAATTGACGACACCCATGCTCATCGAGCAAAGTCGGTGGCGGCCGGTGTACCGGTGGAGGCCCACGAGAAATTGGTTCTAGAAGTGAAGGGTCTTCAAGAGGCCTTGGATAAGTCCCAGTGCATGCTGGAATCGATGCAAAGCCGCCTTCAGGAAATGGAGCAAGCTCAAACTCGGAGCGAGGCTTAGTTGGACTTGCTGATTCGTCTACAGCAATCCGGGGCAGTGCCCTTGTCGTCGGCGCAAGCACCTCCAAGTTCACAAGGGAAGGATCCCGGTACGGCTTAAGTAAGACTACGTAGAACACTGAATGTGTGCGCAATTTGCGCGGGAGGTTTAGCGTATACGCAAGTCCCTTCTTGGCCGTGACCGTAAACGGTCCAATAAAGCGTGGACGCAACTTTGTCTTAAAGACAGCAGACACTACATTTGTAGGTAGATTTTTAGCATTGAGTAGTACTTGGTCTCCGACCTCATAACGTTCAATACAATTTCTGCCTTTTGCATCATCTTGTTGTTTTTCGGTATCTTGGCTATCAGCCATTGCGTCACGCACATGTCTTAAGACATTTAATCGCGTTGCGAGAAACTCGCTTACCTGTTTTTGAACAGTAGCAGGGCTGATATCAGCAAGCCGATCGGCAACCGCTCCCCCCACCAAGCCCTGATTCACGTAGTGATAGCGTTAACGGAACGCGAGGGTGAGTGAGGCCGTTTATATAGAACGGAGTTAAGCCTGTGGAGGCATGAACAGAGTTATTTAACGCAAGCTCAACAACAGGGAGCATGGAGCTCTAACGCCTAGGCGTATCAGCGCAAAAACTGCGCAAAATGTCGTTGATGACGCGGTTTACACGCTCAGTCTGACCGTTGGTCTGCGGATGATCCGCTGTGGACATGTCCAAACGAGTGCCAAGCACCTTGAAGATAGACTTCCAAAACTTTACAGTGAAGCGGGGGTCTCTATCAGAGATAATTGCCACTGGCAAGCCATGTTGGCAAAACACACGGTCGATAAAAAGCTTTGCTGTACCTTCAGCATCGATGCTATCCGGCACCGCCGCTAAGTGAGCCATTTTGCTTAATCGGTCAAAAAAGATCACAATACCAGTGTTGCCTTCCAAATCTTTCGGTAGGCCAAACACAAAATTAATGCTCATGGACTCCCAACAACCAGTGGGTACTGGCAAAATAGCCAGTGGCGCCGCCGCATGTGCCGAGGGTTTAAGCCGTTGACACGTTTCGCACATACGCACATAGGTGCGCACCCACTTATAAAGTTTGGGCCACCAATAACTTTGGTTTACCGAGCTATAAGTCTTCTCACGACCGAGATGACCACTTAAAGCAGTATCATGTGCCTCATAGAGGATTCGATACTTTAATTCCTCATCATGAGGTACAGCGATACGAGGCTTATCCTCAATATCCGTGCGATAGCACAACAGGCCATTATCGATGGGATTTTGATTTAGCCTCGCACGTAAACGTGCCGACAATTCTGTGTCCGAGTCTTTAAACTCATCGCTCCCAAGAGCACGTAGCAAAGCTACACACTGATCGTCCTTGGCATATGCCGCACGAATTAAGTCAGGGACTGACGACGACAGAGTCGTAACATGAGCAAGCTCATAGTCAGGGTGACGCGATAGCGCATCAACCAAATCGTTTTGATTACCTGGCTTGTACTTCACCTCGAAGTTATATTCGGCAAAGAAGGAAAGCCAACGAGCCATTCTCTGTGAGAGATGAGGCGACTGTGTCGCAGTGCGTGATGACGCATGATCTGTATAGATCACAAACGGCTTGGAGCCAAGCAGATGTACTCTGAATTTGACAAGAGCGTACTTCATAGCAAGAAGCTCTTTGTCATGAACAGGATAGTTCTTTTCAGCAGCTTTCAGCTGCCGAGACTCGAATGCAATGACGCGTTCGCGTCCGTCGACATCTGTTTGTAACAGAGCACTGCCTATGGCAAAGTCAGATGCGTCACAGACGACACTGAAAGGCCGACCAGAACGGGCAAAGCCAAAATTGGCGCATGAAGGAGACTCCCCTTAAATGCTTCAAAAGCATTATGTTCGGTGTTACCCCAACACCAATCCACATCCTTTTTAAATAGATTGGAGCCATATCTGCGTAATTTGCACTGTACTTATGTAAGTAATTGGCAAGGCCAAGCCACTCACGCAGGTCCTTTTGGTTCTTGGGAACCGGCCAATCGAGTATGGATTTCACCTTAGCGGGATCCGCTCGAAGGCCTCGCTTCCCAATGAAGCACCTTAAAAAGGGAACTCTTCTGCACCAAAGATGCACTTCGATGCGTTAGCATACAACTTATTCGTCCGCATACACTCGAGCACAGCTCGTAAATGATCAATGTGGTTATCCACATCTGATCGCCCATTCATTGTACGACTATGGACAAAAATGTCATCAAAGTACGTTTGTGCATAGCCTCGATGAGGTCTGAATAGCTGCGTTACCAGCCGGTTAAACGTAGCCGGGGCGTTAGATAGCCCTTGTGGCATAACAAGCCACTCCCAGAGCATACCGCTCGGAGTACTCACCGCTGTTAGCGGAATATCGCTTGCTCGCATAAGCAGTTGGTAATAACCATCGACTAAGTCGAGTGCACTGTACAATGTACATCCTGCCATATTGTTCTAAAGCACATCCTTTCTAGGAATAGGCGTCTGCGCCGGTATAGTGGATGCATTGAGCTTATTATAAGCATGCACAATACGCCACTTGCCATTTGGCTTTTTGACACAAAATGTCGGTGTTAAATGGGGAGACTTGCTCATACGAACCATTCCAGCCGCGTGCTTAGCACGAAAGAATTCGTCAATGACGTCACACTGCTCTTTAGGCAAAGGCCACTGCCGTGTTACACAGTATTTTGTTCCAGGAACTCAGTCAATCTCATGACATACACCTCTATCGAGAGGTAAGGCAGAAGGTGGGTTGTGACACACCACATCTTAAAATTCCTTAACTAAAGGATAGAACGGATCCAAAGGATCTTTAAGGATAGAAGATCCACTTCGTGCACTAAGTGCCGACTTTGTAATCTCTAGGACAGACTCATCCATTAACGAGGAAAAATTCAACTCAGTATCAGGTCTAATGACCGCTAACTCGGATAACCCTCCTTCCTTCAAGGCCTGGCTAAACTCGCCATCAGACATTTCGTGTAGCTCACAAAGAGCGTCCACGGATGGAAGGGTTTTAAGGCAAACACTGCCATCAACCTGACCAGTCACTCCATTAACAAGTGTATATAGTGTATTACTATTATCACTATGTGACTGTGAGGACGCCTGGCACTTTAAAGTAGCTACCCGGCGTCTCGATGGTCTCTTCGAGACCTTACACCCCTTAGAGGTCGGGACAATATTGTCCCCATGGTTACTACCAACCATAGTACGCTCTATACGAGAGCTTTTGTCTTGACCGACATTCGGTGAAGTGTAACATGACTCGAACACTTCACCTAGTGGATCACAACGTGCCACTCCACGTGTATTATGCGGGCCTAGCCCCAAATTTAACGGCACCTCGCCAATAAAGTCATTACCGACATTAGGTGTGGTGCCCTCACGGCCGTCCATACTATACGGCGTATCGCCAACAGTGCCATTACTGACATTAGGTGTGATGCCCTCACGGCCCGCCCACACTATACGGCGTATCGCCAACGACGCCATTACCGGTGTTAAGCGTGGTGCCCTCACGGCCGTCCACACTATACGGCGTATCGCCAACAATATCATTATTGACATTAGGTGTGGTGCCCTCACGGCCGCCCACACTATTTGGCGAATCGCCAACAACGCCATTACCGACGTTAAGCGTGGTGCCTTCACGGCCGCCCACACTAAATGGAGTATCGCCGAAAATGTCATTACCGACATTCAGTGCGGTGCTCTCACGGCCGACCGCACTCGGTGTAGTTTCACGTGCCACCATGCACACATCAAAGGAATCACATCCTTGATCAGTCGGCCCTAGGCCAACCATGCTTTAAGCATGCAGTGACTCGTTATCACAACGAGTAACACCCAACGGAGTACGTGCCGTTTCACTAGTTTCAGACGAGCTAGGCTCGAAACTTATGTTTGTAACATTGGAGTTAGATAACTCAGACATTCCAATATCCAGCACATTGACATTTTCTGTCAAAGGCTCGCGCCAATAGCGCTTTTGTTGCCTAGCGAAGGTGGGTTCATGACTCTCCAAAGCTTCGCCAGGAACATTGCGCGTAGCGCCTAAGGTCTTGGATCTCCAATCAATCCAGGGCTCATGGCGCTCAAGCCAAGCCATACCTAGGATGAGATCATATCTCGAGTCCAAATCTAGGACAAGACAGCGCTCAATACTGTCAAAGTCTAAAACTTTATACCTAAGTTCAATGGAACTTTAGGCACAGTTACGCGACTTCCAGTCGCTAAACGAACCGTGATAGAATCACCCTCATGCGCTGTAAGCGCCTCAGCATAACGCTGACTTCCCTCAAGGGAACGGCGTCGAGCATAATTGCAAGACGCTCCAGAATCGATCAATATCGACCAAGGCTTCTCAAAGCCCTTAATTTACGCCTCGGCGACCAACAAGCCAGACTTGTATCCACGCACCATACCTGTAGGTATGGTACTCTTTGGGGATAAGCCCTGCATTCCTTTACCTTCTAAAGGTGTAACAGAACATAGTTCTTCCCCAGTAGTGCGCCCCGCGCCTACTGGGTGTCGGCATTTCCCCGTGCCATGCCAGACTTCTGACTCGGGGTCGAGTGTTGGCTCGTAGCCTGGCGTTGCTTACGCAAAGGGCAACCAGGCCGCAAGTGTTTAGTGCTGCCGCACGTAAAGCATCGTCGCAGCTTGAAGCTCAGCTTCACCTCCATCTTCAGCATAGCTTAGATCCATCGGTTCCGGCCTATTATAGGCAGTGGTACCCGAAAAGTTTGCTCTCACAGAGCGAGGATTGAATCCATTCCAACCAAGTCTGGCCGACTTGAATTTATGCTCATCATTAAGAGCAATTCTCACAGCCTCTTCAAACGTAGAGGGGTGAACCCGAAAAACCTCGGTTCTGGCAATGCCAGTACGTAGACCTTCCATGAAGATAGTCACATGGACTGCTTCAGGCAGAGGGTCAGACTGCATTGCAGCCATGAGCGTTCGCAGCTCTTGGACATAGTCCGATAGTTCATTCTTACCCTGGCGGGTAGAAAGAAAGCGTGAAAGCACGCGGTAATCCTGGTTAGGTGGAGAAAACACCTGTACCAATTGTGACTTGAGCGACTCCCATGTGGGAAACGCTATGTCCACCGACGTGCTACACGTCAAGGCCCATTCTCTAGCTTTACCATCGAGCTTCGAGATAGCCAGCGAGACCTGTTGATGGTCAAGCGTGATCAGACCTGATCTCATGGCCATCTCAATCTCACGGATCCAGAGGATGAGGTTCTCACCCTCCTTACCGGAGTAGTTTTTTACTTCCACTCTCAGTGGACGAGGCTTAGCCTCTTCGTCTGGTACAGACACGTAGCGTGTAGGCATAGTCGACGCTATTTGGTCTTGGACCTGCCCTAAAAGGGTCGCTTCATACTGCATACAGCTTTCAACACGTGCATTAAGCACTTCAGGACCTTGTGAAACAAGGAACTCCACGTACTCTGAACCCAAAGATGCGGTCAGCTTATCAAGCGCGACCTTTTGGGCCTCAGATAGGGGAGTGGAGTTTTCCATCCCCACAGAGGATCAGTCTTAAAGACTCAGGCGTAGATTGACTACAAGTGCTACCAAGTGTATCGGAGCTACAGAGCTCCATAAGTCAGAGGAAGACTTAACGCTCTACGAGAAACTTAGTTCCAAAGAACTAATGACTTTACGAGTCAACAAGCTTTACAGCTTCAGATCCCTGTTCCAGGGGGACCTAACGATTCAGTGAATCTACAGCACTCAGTGCTCAAGAGTAGCTACCTCGAGGAGGTGTCGCTAGCTCTTAGTGATCAGTGAGTAACGATCAAGACGGCTCGCGAGCCACGTGTCCTTCCGATCAAAATGGGAACTGATTTTATTTTTGTTTTAAGCCTATAGAATATCTTAATCCTACTCAAAGATCTTTCGTACCTAATGGCTGACACTCGTCAGCCCCTACAAACCAATAAGATATTCGATATCACCTTCACAAAGGGGTAACCTCAGGTGTGTAACACCTCTGGTACAACGTACCATAATTTCGTGCAACCCCGTTACACGTAGACTCTCTTCGCAAATTGAATCGGACATGTGTAGACTCAGAGAGTCTCAAATTATTACAGACTTAATGAGACCCAAATCTTGAGTGTCCAAACAAGCTCGTAGAGCTAATCGTCTTGGTTCAAGATACAAACCACCTAACAGAAAAAAGTGGCACTAATACGCAAGAATCCCGTCCTAATGAAGGCTTACACCTCCTTACGATCAGCTAAGTCTCAAGAAGGCACATGTCAGCTATTAAGTAAGAGGTGAAATGCGTGTGTTTGCTATTTTATGGCGACAGGAAAGCCTACCGACGCATTTAACCCATAGACTCTGCTAACCATTCCAGTAATCTTAGTACACGTTTTTCAATGTCACCATAGCAGAAACTATGACTTACTTGTAATGCACGTTACGATAGGTAGTATCCAACTGTAATTTGACAAGGCACAGTTTATCAATGTCGTACGAAAGACAAGAATACGACAATCAAAATCACTGATCTTCGTTATGTGCCGCACAAAACAAATACAAAAATTGATATACCAGTCGTCATGTGACCCCATTACACCCCCCTCACCAAACTACCCATAATCGACATTTTTACCTTTTCGTCAAAATAGCGTGGTGTGTTGTGTTCCCAAAACCTACACTCAGACAATGATGTCATATTCATCTAAATCTTAATAAAACTTATCAAGAGAAGACAACAAAGTCGACTACGACACCCTGACACGGTCGTGTCTGAGGGTGATGGGCCCGATACTGATACATCGGTGTCTAGCGAGTTCTCGTGCTTAGTGCCTAATTTTTCCCCTTATAAAGGCACAGTCCATTAGGTAGCAGCGCTTTAATCAGGTAGTGCACTTGAGGCAGGTATGATCACCATCATGCTTTATAAATACCAGCGACGGTGTTGTGACGCTAATCAGTTGCAGTAAAATATATTTATGAGCTGATACTTGTTGCAGAACACACCCAGCAATTTACAGGACAACTATTATCCATTCAGGCCACATGATCCTAGAACATTACGGTGGTCGACATTTTTAAACGGGATGGTCCCCGAAAGAGGTGCCAAACACCAGAAATGAAGCCATCTCAAGAATACTAGACCTAGTTGCTGGGCCAAGCACGAGGTGTATCTGTGCCTATACAGACGACAGTTCCGATTGTTTTACACCTCGATGAGAGTTAAGCAAAGACCGACACCATGTTTATTTGTTCGCTCATATAGCACGTCGCTTACCTACCATGAAATTTATACTCAAAGGCGGAGGCTCATTTGAAAGGATAGTGAGACATGAATTCGCGAAGCTCAAAGCCTGAAGCAAACTGCGATCAATCTACAAAACTCGATACGTGCAATCAGGTGCTGTGAAGCAAACTAATTCGTCTGCACGTTCATGCGCAGGTAGTCAACTCTATTTAGGAATTCCGACACATTTGCACCTACTAGTGGAAAGGAATTTGAGCATTAAGCTGACCATCAGCACGACGCTTGATAACGTCAACAGCGTATGCGCAGACTTGCCGAAGTGGTACCTTAAACTCTGTTGAGTTTTTAGATGCAGGGTAGCCGCGCCACTTTACCAGATACTGGTGTTAATTTTTGAGACGACCCGCTTCACGAGATTGTCCTTGATGTGGTCGTTGTATCGGTACATGCCTATGAAGAGCTCGTGTCAGGAGTAACGTGGCTCAATAATTTCCTCGCTCGCATGCAGAGTGCCTTGGATCATCCTGAGGATGAGGGAACCAACTATGGTAAATCCAGTGTAGAGCGCTCACGTCAAGTTATCGACTACGTTGGAACTTTTTCTTAAAGCAAATAAATAGTTTTGCTTGATCTTCTCGGCCGACAAACGACTTGAAAGGTGAAGTGCAACCTGTCTGTTTGTATATAGGGTAGAACCATGGACGGAGATTCAACTATCCAGGAGCTCTAGTTTTCAGACCAAGATGCTTCTTGTCCACGATAGAGAATCTTGACAAGGCTAGAATATTTCAGCATAGAACACTGGGTTTGTGCAGCTTGCGCGGAAAGGGGAGGGTAGTGTAAAGGCGAGGTCCTTTTTGGTAGAGAATGTGAAAAGTTAAATGAAGCCCGTACCCAAATTTGTATTAAAGACTACGGATCTTATAAATGTTTGTAGGCTTCTAGCTTCTGTAGGACCTGGTTTACAGCAATACATCCTCTGCCCTTAGCATTTACTTGTTCCTTTTGTGTGTCTTTAGTATCATCTTTTCTTACACGCACGTGTCACAAGATACTAAATCGAAATACGAAAAACGCGCTCACCATTTTGGTACTGGTTAGACTTACATCAGCAAGATTGTTGGCAGAATTTCCTCATCTAAGAAAAGAAGCATGCAGTAGAATTGCTAGCGGAACAAGAGAGTGTAGAAAATTTTATTTACGTAGAATAAGCAAGAACTGGTAGATGAATGAACGGCGTCCTTTGATGTAAACTCCATAGCAACGAGCATCAAGCTCTTCGTTCTCAAAGAATTATCACAAATTACTAAAAGGCATCTCTGATGGCATGACTAACCCGCTCAGATTGACCATAGGTCTGCGAGTGATCCTCTGTGGACATGTTCAATTGAGTGCCAAGCACACTATAGATAATTTTTAGAATTTCATGGATTCTTTCAAAGACATTGCCGCCGGAAATGTGCTGACAAATGACTGATCTGTAGAAAGCTTGTGTATATCTTCGTCATCAACAAATTCCGACATCGCCGTTAAGTTAGCCATTTGCTCAAATGATCACA